ATGGCTCCTAATTGCATGCTCCACCAAACACGTCCTGGTTGCCCACAGAACGGCAGAAGAAACCAACAGGATGCGAACGGTGACTTGCTGGGCCCTGCGAACCTCAAGAGGTGGTACTCGCACGAAGCCGACACAAGCTTCAACGGAGCGGTATATGATGGTGCATGTTTTGCTGCGGGCAGGGAACAAAAAACACATTCCTGCTCTGCTATGCATACAAACACACACACACACACAAGTTGTTTTGTGTTCTCGACTGCAAGGTAGTATATGTTGTCCGCTAAATGGATGACGATGGCTGAGTCCCGCTTCGAGCTCAGTGCATAGCTCAATCAATAGTGAGATTATTTGCCCCCCGGGTTACACAGAAAATTGTACTTTGTCTATCTGAAACGGGTGTAACTTTTTATTTGGAGACCCTCTGCGGGGATTTTGATTTAGGTGGGGGATTTGAATCCGCCAGCCATTGTCGGGGGGTCCCTCACGAATTTCAGAGCCATCTTTCTTTGGGAGGAGACGCCAGTCCCGAAGCAGACTGGGCAGTTCAGCGCCTCGAATGAAGCGCTGGTGCAGTCTGCCTGAGCCCGTAGCATCGAGGATTCCCATTCAATTGCTTGGTTTCCCGGTGGTTTCTTTGATGATTGAACAACATCCCGGGTTGCTGAACCGCAGGGATGAGGCCAATCAGAAAAAAAACACTTTGCGGTTTTTGCGGAAACCCTTGGAAGGGTTGACCAACTTCAGTCGGGAAGCCAACAAACACATAGGACAAAGGGTGCCGCTAAACGATCGTCCCAAGCTTGGTGTAGTTCGTGACGACCCATGCTCCCTCCAAGTACATGGGCTACAGGGTCGATGCCAAACCGTTCAAGGTCCATGAAGCTAATTAAGGGTTGTTGCCTGACTCGATAAAGGTGGTCAAAACCCATCTGTCAAGGATAAGAGGTTTGCCCTCTTGGGTCGCAGCAACAATGCTCGCACCGCTCTCCCTTATAGAATCCTGCGAGTGAACAAAAAGAGCACGTCCGAAGCCTCAACCTTCACACCTGCAGGCCTCTAAGATATCATCATCTAAAGCGGGCGATACTTGATCGTTCCTCACCTGCCACAACCCGCGCAACTTTCAATCTGACGACATTTGCCGCCGGCATGTTTTGCACCACATCCCGAAGAGGGCAACACATTCATCGTCGTCAAAAACAAAAGACGGACGTGAGAAATCCCGAAATCCACGAGGCAAAGGATCTTCGTGGAGCTCGTAGTTCTCCGTATGTTATAACTCGTCGATTGGCCGTGTGTCTTTTCATTGGAGCAAAACAAAGTGCGCACAATGGAAAAGTGCGCGTTTCAAGTAATAACGCGCAAAAATCCAAGAACTGCGCGAGGCGTTTTTCGCTGGTTTTGGTAAAGGTTCCGGGCGTATATAGCCTTGACATCAAGTTGTCACTAGGACAAGGATAAATACGCGCCTTGTCGACCAGAACTCGCCTGAATGATCCAAGGAACCTGCGTGCGTTTTGCCTGCCTGTTGGGCGTTGTCTGGCTTAGCCTTGCCTTTTGACAAGCCAACTTGATGGACAAGAGAAACAAGCTTAACTTTGAGATTCCAAGAAATCCGAACACCGCTTCCAGGTTGAAACGGATCGGCGCAGCTTCAACTGACCACACCTGGCTCAAAATAGAGCCTTTGGCTGGCAATTCGGGCGCTTCGGGGCATCTTCTGCCTAAAAAGGTCTGTTTGCGCGCAATTGCGGAAATTTGCGCGATCGTACCGGAAATTTGCGCGCAAATTGCGGGTTGGCAGGGCGCCCAAAAACGACTAAATTTCACCTGACAGCGACTTGTCTCAACAAAAAGTGTGGCGCAGGCACGGTCCTGGAGCAAACAGTGGATCCGTGCAAACCCAGGAAATGCTTGCGGGCTTGGAGCCATTCATGGAGGTTGAAGCCAGCCAAGCGAGTTGCAAAATCAATGGCCACAAAGTGTCAAGTCCAGGTGACAGGTGGTACTTGCACCGGGTGCCATTTGTTCAACAAAATGCCTGCCTAAACAATGCCTGGGTTGAGACAAAAGAAGAGCTATAGTTGAGATGTAACCATAAGAGACTTCAACAAACAGCTGGCCGGCACGGGAACGAGTAGTGCCGAATTGGACTACCTGAATAGTTTTATCCGAAAAGTGCGCAAATCCTCAAAAGGTGCGCAAAGACCAAAAAGCGCGCAAAAAAGAACACCACACAACGCGCAAACAAAGCATTTGTGCAGAACAAAAGTGCGCAAATGAAGACACAGGGCTGACAAACCTGCCAAAGAGCAGCCACCAACAGGGCCCATGCACTTCTCATCCGAAAGGAGAACTTATAAACGATTTGATGGCATCTTTGCGATGCCTCGTTAAAGTTTAGGCATGTGATTTTGGAAAGGCTAAACTAAAACACACGAAAATGATGGTAACACAAATAGTTGCTTCCTGCAAGGGTCATATGGACTCCATTTGCCTCGATGTTCTTTGAGGCCTCTATCCTGCTCCCAGGAATCCAATGATCCATTGAACCCGTACAGCTGATATGTTCGAGAAAAAGCAACTCCACCAGCTGGCAACGCTCAAGTCACGTATGATGCTGATTTCAGGTGTAACACCCAAGCAGATGAAACCACCTTCTATTGGGATCCCGAGCACGAATTGAGACCGAAGGGGGGCGGGGTCTTCGTGGCTTGGCTTTGGGCGGACAGAGAAGAGGGGGAGGTCCTACATGGCTGTCAAGATTGGGAACTGCTTCAATGGGCGTGTTCCTTATGTCTGCATACAAGACACAAATGAACAAAGTCCAACTGTACCCAACTGGTTTCGACATCTCCCCAGGTTTCTGGTTGGACACCAAATCGCTTTCTAATTAGAAGCTCTCATGACCATCCCAAGTCACCCTTTGCCCTTCAAATCTTTCCATGAGGCTGTCCCGCACCGGCTCAAGGAACAACAAATGCCCAAGCAACCTGGACATTTCAGGTTCATCCTCATCAAACTGAGGACCAGATTCAGGAGCTGAATGGAATTCATGGAACAAAGCAAACAATCGGAATCAAGCTGTTTGGAATATCGAATGGCAAAACTTCAACAGGGCGACATACCAAACCTATGGCCCCTTGTTGGACCCCAAGCCTATGGCCCCTTGTTGGACCCCTGAGCCGCCCCAAGTACCGCCAACCGAAAAAAGGGCAACACAAGGGCCCCTAGTTCTGACAACCCCCCCTTGGGTCTCTGAAAGTGAGCAGTTTCAAGGGTTCTCATAGTCTGTTTTGAGGGGTTGTGTCCCACAAGTTGAGGAATTGTGTCCCATCACAAGTCAGATCCCATGGTTCTCATAGCTCCTTTGAGGGGGTTGCCACCACTCAGATCCCATTTCCTGGGGTTCCCCGCCGCTGTGTTGCTCTGGCCGGTGCACTTGGAGTCCAACGCCGACAGGAATTGCCTCGCCGTCGCTTCTCCAAGCAAGTCGCGCAACGCGCAGATGTCGCCGCAAAGCCGTGGGGGGTCTCCGGTGTCTAAACCTGTTGGCTGGTTTCTTTTGGAAGCCCTTTTTCAAACATTCCAAAGACTGTCCCTGATTTGGGACATCCTCATGTGCAACTGCATCCCAAATAGCAAAGCCCTTAGAGCACAGGATTCGATCAATGCCAGGCAAGTCATTGTGGAATCCAACTTGAACAAATCCCCAGGCAGCTACACGCTTCTCACAACGCCATCGTTGCCACCCTGTTACAAGCGATCTTGCCCATTCAAGAATCTATGGACCATGGGTTTGCTTCTGTTGACGGAAGCTGTGTTCGGAAGCTTACCAAAGCAAAGCAAACTGTCGTGAAGAAACCAATCCACACAATGTCAGGAGCCTTAGCCATGTGTAAGGTGGGGGGGTCCCGCGGCTTTAGTGACATACCTATAATGTTTGTCCATGTTGACTGACTACGGAGAAACCGGACACAATTGCTGCTGCTCACATCAGCACGTCTACCAGTGAATGCTAACACGCGCAAATTATATATATATATATATGTTATACCTATATACTTGAGATGAGGTTGACCACTTGGCTACACGCTATTCTCATGTTTGGTATCTCACGAAAGCCCGACTCCTCCACATAGGGCCTCACCTTGGCTTCTGAACCCATCTTTTCAGGACCATGATGCCAACCTTCTCTCTCCTCATAGACCACAGACTCGGCAACATGCGCTAATGTCATGATGTTAAGCCAGCATCAATAAGCCCAGCTGATTCATAGGGGTCCCGTTTCAGAGCGGGATCCTTCAACTTGTTGGGCGGAGTTGCACCCACCCCCCCTCCACGAGAAATCCGCGAAATGGAATCGGCCCATTCAACCACCACGCGGGATGACCCAACCCCTGGCAAGCGGCCCAAGGGCCACAAAGGAGCCGATGACTCCTGGCAGACCACCGGGAACACAAGCTGAACTCGGTTGCTTTCTGCTCCCCTGCTAAAAGTTTAACTTGTAGAGGCTTCATGAAAAACCCATTAGTTGGCAAACAGTTAAAGTCCTAACATCCGAGCAACATGCGCCAAAGTGAAGACCACAGCATCTCCGGGAGCCACACAGTTCCCGCTCCTGTTTTCATGGCGTCTGAGTGAGGAATCTGCTGCTGGATCCTTGCACCTTTGGCCTTGCTTTAGGAGACTGCAAGGCCAAGCCATGGCTTGGCTGTATCTGTGGCGGTAGAAAATTGGATCACACCCACGTTCCAGCACGAAGTTGCGACGCGACTCGATCTTGATTTTGGATAGTGACTCAAAATAGGGGACCCACATCTGAATTTCTGCCTAGCCATTGCCTTTCCCCAAACCCAAATGCACATCTTATGTTCTTAGCTTCCAAGCAGGCACCCGAAACAAATGGGTATCTGTCAACATAGGACCCTCAAAATAGTGGTTCTCCTGTTGGCGTTCCATTGAACCACAGTCAAAAGGGTAGCGAGCCTAGCACCATCTCAGCTGCCCAGCGCGCCTCCCAAATCCACCGCGCACACCTTCTGGCCACCCGCGCCGTTGATCTGCGTGCGGGACGGAAGATGGCCCTTAAAAAATAGTGGGCCCGCCAAAGAATTGATGGTCCTTTGGCTTCACGTTTAACCATCCCAAAAAAGAGTCCCTCAAAAGTGATCAACCCCTGACTATCCTGGCACTTCAAAGGGGAATAGCCGAAGTATCACAAACAGTGGCCCTTTCCACAACGATGGTCGGGTATGGAAACCAAGCGCGAACGCTTGTTCAGCCAAGTATACTGCATTGGTTCCATAGCGCGTGACCGTATTCATCCAATTTTAGACCTTTCCGGCAAGCATCTGACGTTTGAACTTCAAGCGCAAACGTTGACCGAAGCTTTGCAACAATCGCTGGGACCCCACGCTGTCACCTACTTGGCGGGATTTGCGTTTTTTTGGTCTGGAAAACTAGAGGTTGTTTTTGCATTTTGAATTGCAGGGCATTGAGTTTGAAGTTTTAGTTTTCGGCTTTGGACAACTCAAGGCTTTTACTTTTTTGGTTGCAGGAGATTACGGCAGATTATGGAACGCTTGCGTTGCTGCAACCAGATGGTGGGATGCCTGAGTTTATCTGTTTGTACAATGACTGCAAAAACGCTGGCCCTATGCCCCCCCCTTTCTGTATATATATATATATATGTAGTTGCTCCTACACGTGGCCATTGGGTTGGGGATCCTAAGATTAATTGAATAGGGACAGGCTGTCCACGCCTGCTTGAGGGTCTGCGGATTAAAGCTCATGCGCAACTTCTTGTCTCTGCCGAATCCAGGGACTGAGCCAAAAACATGTTTATACCTCTTGCTTGCTTCTGCAAAGCAGTGTGGATCATTCGCAGATCGATTTCCCAGTCCGTTTTCTGTGCCAGGAGTGGGATCTTCAAGTCTCACCCGGTCTTAATTTTTACACACTTTCGAGGCTTTGGAGTGGAAATGCGACCGCGTGAAGGACACAGCAACAACGAGGATTCGAGGGAGAAGGACGTCGTTCCCCAAGAAGGCCCGAGAGGCGCAACTTTTGTCCTGGCAGTGCGTTACGGGAAGGGTGTTGCGGGACAGGTCGCAAACGGGCGACTCTCTCATTGTTTCGCAATGTACGACAAAGAGGTCAGATTCCACTCAATGCAAGACCCCTGCCGTATCGCGCTGGCCAAGCACAAGTTGCGCTTCTTGAAGGTCAGCGTGATCACGGCCCTTGAAGCACATTGACTTTTGACTTTTGCAGCCGGAAGGATGGTCTAGATACTTTTGGCCAAAGCTTACATGAGTCAAAATGAACACATGTTACCCAAAATCATACAAGTGATCAAGAGGATGGATACTCACAACTTTGTTGAGACTGTCCCTAACCTTCATCTACCCAGGTTTCGAGTGTGTCTCTCATATCGGGGAGTCATTCCCTCACTATATTTCGGCGATGCGGGTTTCCCTTTCAACCTCTTCAAGAGGTCAAGCATGAAATTGTCCGGATGAAAACATGGCCTGAAACAGGGTTTCTGGGTCCCTTAAAAGCTACACATGCCGAAACCTCTTGCAACTGGCAAAGGTGGCTTTCAATACTGTGGATGGACGAAATCCTGCACCTAAGTCTTTAAGAGACTCTGCAAATGACGATTCCCCTGCAGATACCTGCAAACAATGGTTTCCATGAGCTTCCAAGTGGTGCGAAGTGGACTTCGCCCAGGACCCCTAGGAACGGATTCCCGCATACCCCCAGGCCTTGAAGTTGAAGTCAGTGCAGTCCTCACCCCCCGAAATCCAAGGCGAAATCTCTGCGAACCACCGGGGTGCTGTTTGCAACTCGAGGGTACGGCGTCGCTTGATGGTCGCTACTTTTACTTAGGCCCACATTCCTGTAGAGCTGGCTGGCTTTTGGGTGGCGATCGCCAAGTCTGTTGAGAACGGATGTATGCACGCTGCATATGTTTAGGGGACCCCTTCTCGGTGGTCGTTTTTCTGCGGCAATCCAAACAGAAACCAATGGGAAGAGCTCCCTCGGGACACAACACAGAACATGCGCCGCAAGGCAATGCTCGCTGGTTCTCTGCGAGACCATGCTACAGGGGCCCCTGAGGGCCTTGGCCTGAAGGCTCATGGCAGAGTGAGGCATAGGCTTAAGCCCATTGAGCAATACCTGGGGGTTTTTGGAGGACCCCTGGTGTCCTTTACAAAAGATGGGCCTCTCTCCTTCAGCCTTGGTTTGGCACCCTGCACCAAAGGGCCCAAAGACCCAAAAGGGTTTCCACGGGAAAGTGGAACAACCCTTATATGGTGTCCATATCGTAGTTGTATACCCCATTATTCCCCTGTGGGGCAGCGGTTGGGGCTAGTGCAACTCTTTTGCTTCCCAACCCCAGCGCTCCCTTCCTCCCTTCACAGGATTCCAACGCCTCCTCCTTGCTGTGTCCCCAACATCACAGGTCTTGATTGGGGGGGTGTCTTTTTAATTGTGGTTGGCTCAAGGGGAAATCAGCAGGTACCACAGTACCACCCAATTAGGGGGTCGCTCTATACGACCATTTAGAGGAAACCAGGGGGGGGTCTAGGGAACCCCCCCCCCCTCCCACTCCTGGGCTGCCGCGTTGATGGCAAGCCCGGCTCGGCCCAGGAGCTGCCCAGACTGCGCGTTCGGTGCAGTCTGCGGAAACACCGGAACCTGTACTCGGTTGCGAAATCTGCTCCTAACATCCCAGCAAAACGCAGCAAAGTGTATGTGACCAGGTGACACGTGTGGGTATGGGTCAAAATAAAACCACCAGGGGACCGCAGGTTTTAGTCTTTGGTTCCATTTACCAGGGTTCCGTTTTGGGTACGCATTTTTGACCCATAGCCACGTGTAACCTGCCCCCACTGGCCGGGTCCCAAGAAAAAAGTGCTTTTCCTCGCTTGAAACCAAGGTCAAAAGCGTACCACTCATATTATAGGTTCTGGGACCCTCACTTTCGTGCAAGCTACCCATTTGTCGGAATCTAGGCTCACCTGTGGCAAACCCTTCATTGGAGTTGACCGTTTGTAGTGGACACCGCAAATCAAGGACTATGGGTGCCACTGATTACCTGGGAGGTCAACATGCTGATTCAGTTTGGGGCAAGCGGCTAGTGAGACAAAAGACCCAAAGACGACAACAACGACGCTTTCATGGCTTGGAGCACTTCACATGGTGAGGATGTTGTAGGTGTACTTGCTGCACGTCACCATCCCTTCTAACGTCTTGGATATTGCAGTGGGAAAGCATCCCATGCCGGAATCAGGGGATGCCTTTGTGCAAGTGTTTCATAGGATGGAGGGAACCTACCAGAGACATCTGCATTCTGATAAAACACTGGTTGCTCCACTGGAGAATTACTGTTGGAGACCACACGGCAACGAAAGCCCCTCATGAACAGCTCAACCCCCGCTGCATGGATGCATCTCCGCGTGCAACATACAATTGGCACTACACAAAGGTACCTCCTTTCCATTATCTGAAGGTGAATCAACGCGTTTGACTTTATGTAGGCCCCGTTGCGAAGTGTCCATGTCTGAAAGTGTCCAACTGGTTTTGATGGACATCCCTAGGTAGTCTAGGTATGATATTGGACACAAAGACAGCACTGGCAACTGAAACTAGCATCATCTACGTTCAACCGAACTCATCTACAGACACCTGGGTGTGGCTGAAAATATTAAAAAAAAGAGCTGGGGCAAACCGCAGTGTTTTTTCCTTTTTATTTTTGGTTCCATTTCCCAAGGTGCCATTTGGGGGATTCCCCATTTTTTGGGGGAGCCCCAGACACCTCCCTCCACAAATCGAGCCAATTTCAGGCGACTGGCGAAGTGCGCGTCGAAGAAGCACTCCGCGATCTCCGCTTTGCGCGCGTCAGAGTTCGCCTCTCGCGGGCGAGCTCCGCCAGTGTTGGACCCCGCTACACCCAGCCTGGGGGTAGGGGTGGGGGTCAAAGGGATGGTAGGGGTAATACCAGACATAAATGAAAAAGGGGGGTGGGGGGTACCACAATCATCTGGGTGCCAACAAATATTGCGCTCAGTGGGTGGCACTTGGTCGAAACTCCTTTTGAGGGCACACCAGGTCTGAAACGGAAGCCCGTATTTCTGGCAATGCCCTTTGTGATTGCAAGTGAGCAGCACAAGAAAGAATGGAGCGCTGAAAAGATGGCGTCAAGTTGCTCGTTTTGCGGATACTGATGGAACGCGACAAAATGCCAACCCGCACTCAAGCGATTTGGTCTCATGACTCCAGAACACCGTCTGGGTAAGCTGGTGCGAGAAACGAACAACAAAATAAACAACTGTTGCCTGAAATGAACTCCAGAGTGCAGCGACAAAACACCATGCCATAGAGGCACATCATAACAAAGTCATGTTCTAACACAAGACAGTTGGAGGTGTTCTTCAAATGCGGCAGGTTCTGCAGTGGCTCGTACGGGACTCCTGGTTCGCTGGCGATGGAATCAATAAGCTCTAACGTCGAGGACCGCACACCACATTGAAGAATGCCGATATATGTAACAGTGAAGACATAATTACATGTGAATGACAGGATAGGGGTGATCAGGCGAGAACACACAAAGTAACATGGACACGGAACAAACATGATCGAGAAACATCAAAATCATAGTGTGCATGCAAGAAGGATAACTCCACTTTCAATTTAACAATAACAAAACAACACAAACGTCATAGCCGTCGTGATCGCATGGCATTATGTGTACTAACAATGATCAACACAACAGAACAAGAATGGAAGTCATTATGCTAAACAACAATCACAAAAACAACACATTACGCAACACCTGTCCTAGTCAAAGCAAACTCTATTCAACCGTCGAAATCAAGCACCAACCAAAGACACTAATTGATCGCATCCAACTACAAGGGTGTTGCCGGCGTTGCCTCCTCGGTTGATCAAACAATCGCTATCTCGTGCTATTTGCCCTGGCAAATTGGCAAACTACTCCCCGAAAGCTACCTAGCTGTTCCTCTCACCACCAGGCTCTCACAGGTTATTATGATCAAATATTTGATTCTGACATTTGTCCCAATTCAGCTGATATTTTCTTCATAATCTCGGAAGCAGTCCAAAAAAAAACACACACACACACACACACACACATCAGCACACCCAGAAACCGACGATGAGTCCCGCCCGGTGATGCTTGATCTTCGCGATGAGTTCCGCGTCAGCCTCGCAGAAGAGGCGAAACCCAAAACGCTGTCACCGGATTTTCCACATGGACAAATACTGAATAGCCAGCTTGATGCAACATAGTAACATAGCGGTCCAAAGTACTGGTCAGCGGTGGAAGAGCACATAGAAAAGCCTCTTGCAGCAATGCCCCATCTAGCAAATTGTGGCGGTTACACCACCTGCGCACTTCGAGAAATATCAAGGATTCTCCGAATATCAAAAAACTGGGGCCACTCAACCGCGCCCCAATCCAAAATCCAAGCGGATACGGGCTGAGCGGACTATTGACTACCCATTGGCGATGCAAAGTCAGGCTCTATCCGAGATGAGCGACGGCTTTCGTCTGCTTCAGCCCCCTTGGAGGCCAGCCCGTCAGTAACAGAAAACCCAAGGGGCTTGAAACGGCAACATCTGGGGGTGCCTTCCATGTCCATTCTTTCCAGGGATCCTTCTTTTCAGGAAACCATCAAAAACGCTGTTTCTTTTTTTAAAGAACGATGTTTGAAAAGACGGGGGAAAAGGGTGTTGCCATGTCAAGTCCTCTTGCCCAGGGCCAAGAAAAGGACTGAAGAGGTCCTCCAGGTTCTTGCTTCCAGTCTTGGCTGGGAAGGGCCAGAAGTGAGAGGACCAGCACAGGGGATCCCCAGTGAGTAGCCAGGGGGGTCCCCAAAAAACAATCAGTATTGGGGGCCTGTCCAAACCTTGTCGACCTTGAGGGGGAAACGCGGGGGCCTCTGCACTACTTTTCAGGCAAACCAGGAAGTTGGTTTCCACTACCCCTCAAACACCACCCAGCCCCGTGGAAAATGCGGTATACACCCTTCACAAAACATATTTAGCTGAATATCCCATTAAAGCCCTGGGGGCGGTTGGGTAGAGAACATCGTCTTCCACTCGAGTTTCTTTGGAGACGCTCCAGCAGGTTGTTGGCTCCTCAGCCCTCCCCGGCCCCCCGCCTCCTGGCGAGCTGCTGGGGAGCCCGGCCTCATCAAAACCCATGAGATTCATGAGAGGCAGTTTATTTGAACAACCACATCAGGCATGTTGAATGCACATGAGAGAAAAAAAAGGCATTGTATAAGTGGGTACTCGTGCAGACATAAATAGATGCACAGGATTGACTTCACATGTGTACATGTCTATATGCATACGTATTTTATTTTACACATGGCTTGCAATAATACATTGGCATGTGTTCCACTAGAGTTGCTAAGACTCCTGCAAAACAATGCCCTATTCAAAATTGGTGGCCCCCTGCTGATGTTTCTCAAAAGAAAACCAAAGGAAACACCATCCGGGCCTCCCCTTTCTAAGAACAGCCGCAATTTGTAAGAAGTCCCCATTGTGCAAAGAGAAATAGGACATTGAAGAAAAGAAGGGCCAGCTTCTGCATTCCCAGACAAAAACCGACCTGCGAGATGTTGTGTGTGTGTGTTCCCTTGTCATTCTAAACCAATCTAAGTCAAGAGGGATGCCCCTTCAAGTTTCTGATGGAATGTGGAACGGGCACTTTGGACTGGCGTCCACTGGTTGTCGCTTGGAATTCAACCCTGCCGAGTATACTGTGCAATGGGCTGTAGAAATGTATATCAAACACCCTTGACATAGTCGTCCAATGATAACTGTCAGTGCTTGGGGGCAGGGCTCAAGATTGGAGCCTAAAAGGGTTGCCAACTTTGCCCGAACATGCCAAAACTCCAGCTGCTGATTGTGCGCACTCAAATTGCATGGTGCCAAATTGAGGTGCAAACCACACGTCGAAGACATGGCACCAACGCGCACTAGTACCCAATTACCCAGCCATGTGCCGCAACAATTGACCATCCTTCTGATATGACAAGCATAGTTTGCATAGTTCGGTCAACGGCAGGCAAGCTTCCTTCCTGAAGAAAGGGGAGCCCAAAGGTAGGACCCCGAAGACAGGCGAAGGTTCCAAAGAACCGCGAGACACTTGCATGATTTGGCCCCCTTAGGCTGTCGTACCTGTCTGGTTTCTCTGCCTGTAGTGATATGAAAAGAGCACCTAATCTGATTCTTGGGGAGGCAAGGCAGCCTTCTGCAAATGGCCCATGTTCCATGTAGCAAGCCCCCGCTCCATTGTGGAGCTTGAGGGAAAGTATCCGAAAGACCTGGCCTAGGTGGCTGCTGGTTGCAGTCCAAGCTCCCGGCAATTGAAGAAACTCGCCTCAGACGCACAGACGGCGCAAGATGTACTCCGGGCCATTAATTAACATGGAACACACCAGAACGTCCGGTTTAGAGGTAAATGCTTTTCCACCGCTCAGGTTTCACGTTTCTGGATGGGAGGGTACACATTTGCAGGTGGAGTCCTAAGCAAGCGCAGATTACTTGTAAGTGGGAAGTTCCTTGCATCTGCTTATCGCAGTGAGTGGTGTTTATCAGAAATTACTCCCCACTCAGCAAGCAATCACCGATTCGCAGCTTAATTCAAGCGCGCAAAAAAAAACCTGAGAGTTGCGTGGGTCCCTTGAGACCAACAGCTCCCTGCCTGGCCGGTTGTCCCCTGATTTCATTGCTTGACAAGCGCCAGGCTGTACTGCTGGCCAAATGCCCACAGAAAGCTGGCAGCACGCACAAACCCGCACAGTATCGGGCAATGTATTAGGTAAACCGCACTTGAATTTCACATCCCTGGACCTGCCCACCAACCCTGCTATCAATGAATCAAATCTACAAATTGTCGAGCAAACAAGGCCAGCCATGCCCAACGCAAGTTCACATGCCAGCGCAGGGTTCCTTCAGGTCAGGGATGCTTCACGTCCCAAAGGCGACACGGACTGTGTTTACTCACCAGCTCGCTCAGCTCCTTTGGGCAGGCTAAAGCTATAGGGACGCATCTGGCACAATGTGCCATAATGACAGAGCCGGCAATTCCATTCATGAGAGCCACAGACATCGACCCAGACTGCGACATCTAAAGGTGCAGCTTGACACAGGACTGCAGTGCAATCTGCAGCTTTTACATCAGGGCCCAAAAGGGCTCCGGCCCGCATGCCGTCTTCCGCAATACGCACCTGTTTTGAACGTCGTTTGGTGGCATGTTTGTTGGGCAGTGTGACACATAACACCAATCCTATCACACCTTGCTCACAGCGGAGAAGCTGATTGAACATCCAAGCACCATCTCGGCACCTTTCCTTCGGAGATGTCCAACGGGCGGATCAGACTTCTTCCAAGACCTAAGCAACACATCCTTGAAGACACCTTCATCACGGGCAACGTCACTGTCTGGTGACGTCGCTAGTTAAAGTACTGTTACAGCTTCCATTTCAACTAGTCCAGACTGGAAGTCTAGCACCCACGAACGAATTGCGCGTATGGCTAGAACATGGTACAAGGAACACAAATTACCAACAGCTTGGACTCGTGAAACAGGCAGTACCAGGGTCCCAACAAATTGTTGCGTGACAAGTGACAACCCTGACAAGTGCGGGCAAGGCACGACCCCTCAACGTGGAGTTGTCCTGGCTTCATACTCTCCCATGTCCGAGCCGCGTGCAAACCCTTTCGCTGCCAAAACCAAGCAGGCTGCTGCCTAACCCGCTGAGTGAACAATGGCCCAAAGCTTGGAATGTGCTGGGTCTTTACTGAAAAATGCAAAAGGAGCCTACCACAACAACATCAAACTGTCCAACTCCAAGATTGTGAGCCATCCACAGTTTGTTTGGCAGATGGTTCTGATTCCCCTACTTCGGAACTTCAGGTGATATCACTGGAAATCCCGCGATGGGTCCGTGAATCAGGGACTGTCCGGACATCAATCCTTGGGAGTGGGAGGGGTGAGTCTCCCTTCACCACTCAAAGCACACCCATGACGCGCCAAAGTTACCTGCGTGTGCCTCCCAAGAGGAATCCCCAAAATGGGTTGGTTGCCTTTTGGTGTCCCGAAAAAAACCAACCAAAAGGGGATTCCCGAAAAACACAACACAAAAACAACAACGCACACGCTCACAAGCAGCAAGTCTTGCATCAACCAATCATTGCTAAACCGAGCGAATCTTGGCGGGTTGGGCTCCATGGCTGTACACCGCTCAAGGCATCCTAGAGAAAGGTAAACAATGGTTCCCATTCTTCAATTTGCGGTTGCCGTAATTGACCTGAACCAAGGGTCGACATTCCTCCCCCTCTACCAGCCAACTATGCTGGGAGTTGGCGTGTAGAAGGGTGCAAAGCGACACAAACTCCAGGAAAATGAGCCAAGTCCCTCTTTTCCGCAGGTGTTCGGCTAACTCCAAAGAGATGTTCCCAGAGTTGTTTCTCTTGGATACCCACTGGGGCAAATCGCTTGCTTGCACCGAAGGCACCTTCGGGTCTGCAGGCCAATGCCCCCAACTGGTGGTGAAAGGCAACAATCGCAGATCATTTCGGTCGGTGACCAAAGTGGAGCCAGCCTGGGCTAGAGAAAGGCATCGACGCCACCGCACTTCAGGACTTCAGGCTGTGGCCAAGAACTTTTGTAGTGGCTTCCCAATGGGAATTTCTAGAAAATTGATTGGGTTGGCCAATACTCCGTTTTGAGCAGCGCTAGACATAGGCTTCCACTGGCTCGGGTATGACCTACTCAGTCAAGAGTCCCCGATTGTGGCGCAACTTCCCACTGGCTGACACTCTCTCGCTAGAAATCCCATTGCTAGATGGGGCAAATACATGCTGACTTCAAGACTTGTTTTGGGAACCATAAGCCAGAACAAGCTCAAAGCTTCCGCACCTTCATGTAGAATGTGCTTCTTGCATGTTCTTCAAACAAAAGGAGCGAGCTTGGTGTTAAAACGGGTGTCTAGAAAAGTCCAAACATCTCATCATTCTGGCTTCCAGGCCATTGACAATTGTGGGCTATTTAGCACCCAGTTTCCGAACTCAGCTGGCAAACTGGCAAACCCACCGTCCTGCAATCGGCGGTTGTCCACCAAGCCGATCTCGTCTAAGATGGACACCCTGCCCTGGAGGGTAAATTCCACTGCAACTTGACACGGAACCCAAAAGGCGATCGGGATCCCGCAGCAGGAGATTCCTCTACAAATGGTGGCTTTTGCTGGGCTCCATGATAACCACGGGCGTCAATTCTGGGGTGCTCTGAATGCAACTGGACAAACTAGATTATGTCAAACCACCTAACATGGAATGTGAGGGAAGCCATGCTTCTTCAGAGCTACCAAGTACGATTCCTATCAACGTCCTTCTTTAAGGGTACTCTTTATGGGGGTGGTTTAGAGGGAAACTAAACCGAAACCAACTGTTTGGAGGGTTTCCCTACTCATGAAGTGCATGGATCAGCGAAAACTGCTGAGCCGACATCACACATCTGAGCCAGCAGTCAAGGAATACAAGATTCACGTCAAGCATGCTCAATCTATATGCAACCAAAGTCGACAAAGCACCTGCAATGAGGCTGATATAAGCCACGGTCAACGTTTATTGTGTTTTCCAGTGAACCCCCCTTGCCTCATGCGAGTTTGGTGCATGTACCCATGTCCACGGTAGATTGCGGGAACATATTGTTTGCGTTGCTCGTATGCAAGTCTTCGACCCCAACCTGGCCCGTCGCTTCAGCATCTCCCACACAACAAAATCCCTAGAGAAATGTCCGAAGCGTCGAGAGACATAGCAATAGACACAAGGTCGCCGGAACCAGCAAAGTCCCAGACCACAGTTCAATCTGGGGGTCATATCTGATTTCCGGATGGGAGGAGTCCCGGCTCGGAAGCCAATATGATATGCTTGAAGCCTATGTTGGCTTCCCACAGTTACACACTGACGCGAGCGAAAATCAGGCAGGAACCTAGGTGTAGGTTTGCACAACATAGCGCTGGCAAATCTTAAATGTGTAAACGAAGAGAGAACCGAGTCGAATCCATCAATGTTCAACCAAACTGGCCGGTTCAAAGGACATATTTGACAACCTCTGGAAGGGACAGGCTCAGGCCTTAGCAAGCGAACAGGCATTTCATATTATCTTGTGGATGGCTTTCAAACACGGAACAACATACATCACCACCACATCGACAATGCACAAAATGCGCAGCGACCACTCGTCGCGACCACACCTTGGACTTGTCGCACACGGCGTGCATCCCTGCCCCCGCCACTGCGATGTTGGCGAGTGCAGACACCTTGGCAGCAGCTCTGCACCGCGGGAACTCTTCCACAAGCTACCGAACAGGGCATGGCTGTGGGTCAAGAATATGTACCCAAGATGGACCCTTGGGCAAATGGGATCACGGACTAAAACCTGCGGTCCCTGGTGGTTTAAGTTTGACCCATACCCAGATGGACAAGACGACTTGTTTCGCAAGAAACTACGGTGTACACTTTGGCCAATGCCCTCCCAAGCCAAGAATCAACCAAGGAGAGGTCATTCATGTCATGTTGTGAGAGCCTCAAGGATGTAGGATTCCCAAGTTCCACCGGCTTCCTTGGGGGTTCCATGCACTTCTCAACTGAGAGAAACCAGCAAATCATATTCATCCAATGTGTAGATACCAAACGGCCGTCCCAATGGCAAGCAAATGCTTCTTTGCGAATTTTGAGGCCAGCAAGCCATGGCCTGCACTTGGCAGTTGATGCCCAGGAAAGACACAAAACGCGTGGCATCAAAGAAAAGCTGGCCCAGTGGCCATTTAGGCATCACATGGTCCGAGGCTTTTGAGCAGTTCAGAGGGGTGGTTGGCAGGGCATGAGGCTAGGGTTTGCATGTTCACCCTCTTTTAAACATAGTAGGAGCTCGCCAATTCTAGTGGATAGAGAAATGGATCGGTGGACTAGTAAAAATAATATCACAAAGAGGTATTGTATTAGCGAGGTCCGGTCTCTCAGAGATTCAAATGAAGCGAGCAGAACAAAACATCAAAACGACGCCTGAAGTTCTTTGTGCATGACCACTCCTGCATACCATTATCATATATGAACATTTTTTGTGTTTGACCAAATGATCTTCATTGTAAATGTTGTTTACATCGTACACTCTAAACTATGCATTCAATTAACCATCTAGACTAGTAAATAAAGGCCATAGCTATATAGTTTTACTTATACCATTCATCCAGGTAATATGCATCCCTCGTTCTTTCTACCTTATATATCTAGTGTGATCACTTTCTTGTTCTACAGTCTATACTATATGTATACATTGTATATTTGTCCTTAGGAGTTCATCTGTGTAATTGCCTCTCTCGTTTCGTCTCTATGGTAGCACATTCGGAAGCGAGAAGAAGAGAAAGAAAGAGACAGAGACAGAGACAGAGAGAGAGAGAGAGATGACATAACAGCCCGACGAAGGTCCTGTTCTGAATGGCCTTCATCTCATCTGAGAGCATAATGCCAGAGGGCTTCTAGACTTGTTGCGTTATTTACGGGTTGTGTGAGGGTTGCCCTGTAGCTGGACTGAATACTGTACCTGTCCCCGAGTGCAGCTTTTCAGGCAAAACGCTATATCAGCTTTCGTCCACAACGGATTCAAGATATTCTGGTCCATAAGCGAACCTTAAAGACAACTGTTGGGTCGTGAGCCCGTTCTGACCTAAGACCTCAGGATCTGGCTGGGTTTCTCGGTGACCGGGTGTGTGTGTGTGTGTGTGTTATTTTTCGGCCACCCACGAATCGCCTGACGGTCGAAGCCTCTCGATTTCAGGCCCAGGCCAAGCCGGAAGAATCTGCGGCGCAGTACGCCTCACTCGGCCCAGCTGGAACTTAGAAGATTTGGGCTACGATGGATTGGTGGGATAAGTAGGGAATGACCTGGTCATCAATGCTCTGGTGGCTCACAAATGTCTCCAAAGTACATGGTAAGGATGAGTTTGCTTGAAATCGGTTCATGCAGTGAACCTTGTGTAAAAGTCATGTTACGCAGTTTCTCCAGCTTTTTGGCACGCCTTTTCTTCTTCCCCTCGACCTTGAGGGTACCCTTTTGGAGCTTGTCTTTCTTAAGACTTTTGAAACCCAAAGAGAAAAACCCAACTCCTTCGGGCTCCAAATCCCTCGGTTGACCTCAGAGAGAACCGACGCCTCGAGTGCCCAGTGCCCGGCCGGGTTGTTCAAGTGCTCCGCGCAGTCGGAAGCCGCGGAGGCCAAAAACCTGGCGCTAGATGGCTTCGTCCCGATGGAACGAAGTTGATCGGTTGGACACCAAAAAAGAAATCAAACCACTGAAAATTCTAAGTGTCGAATCTGAAGAATCCTGCCTTGAAGGGGATGATTGAAGGGCCTGTCAGATGCATAGGGTCAAGGTTGATGTCTCCTTCAACCATGTTGTAGACTTCAGACAGTTCAAGCAGGGATCCTCACTACCTCAGCGTTCGCCTTGACTAGACAAGACAGGTTCAGAGTAAATCGTTCCTCTCAGTGAGAAGTCCATTGTAGAATGTCCTTGAATAGGGCAAAGTTGGGTGTGATTATTAATTGGCGACCCTCTGGTGGACATCGTTTAGGTGAGGAGCTCTGTCTATCAACTATTTGGGAGGGTGTCCCTCATCAAAATCATGGCCACACGTAGTGAAGTTTTTGTGTTGGTGTCACCTGAGCCTTGAAATTCCTGATGCATCGTAACATTCAGAATTCAAACAAAGCCCAAGCGCTTGCTTACTTTCCCAAAGGGCATGTGCACATCTGAAACTTCTGGGCTTCTTGGGGCTTGGAGTCTAGCACTGCCGAAGGCCAAACACACGTAGTTGCCGCACTCCAAGGTGTTAGCCAAGGAGCAGGCAAGAGGCACGAAAGATCAACCGCTTCCCAGTGTGATGTGTTAGGCTTATTCCCTAAGTTGATTAGAACGGCCTTGCGGAAAAACAAGCATAGCAGCACATACAAAACTCGGGGAGTATCTGGAAGTTATACTGTAACTGAAAAAAACAATATGGGATCCCAAGGTAAAGGCTTTACCCACCTCACCAAAAAAACAGTGAGTATGCCTACTTGTCTACCAAATTGGTGTTCTGTTTTCCGAGGGTACCCTTTTCAAGTCGGATTGCAGGGCAGCTCAAAGCGATTTACCATTCCTACTTGGGGTCCATCTTGACCCTATCTTGACGAGTCATACCCAGCTTGCGTTTCAGCCGCTCAACTTGCCCAAGCAGCGAAGCCACATCTGCGAAGCAAGCGTGAACGCCTGGCCAGGAGGGCAGAATCCGTCAAATGAGCGCCCGCTTCTCCCATTGACTTCTGCTTCTCGGGTGGTTTTCACATTCATGTTGGTGCTATAAACCAGGTAGTAGAACCACCTACTCCACACATTCGCAAGCGAGATCGAAGCAACCCCCTCAGAGTGACCCCCACCCCGATCCATGTCCGTCCTTGGTGAAACAGCGTCTCTCACGGCTACTGTATTGGCCAAGACGGGTTTCCCACGCGGCAAGACGATCCGAAGAGATCGCATTGACCCAAGCAAAGGTTGTTCAAAGTGAATACCAAACATCAATTGAAAGGCCAAGTGGGAGACCAAGAGACTAGCCGCGATGAAAGATATTTGCATAGACGGTACGATAGACACCATCCTACTGCAAGAAGCAAGGTCTAGTCTAGACACCCAAGTTACGCACTGGTGTCATATGGGCATGGCTCCCTCAATAGGACGTATTACTCCGTTAGCCCCAAGTAAAGGAGTCTCTCGACCTTGCACATATGACCATCAGCCTCTGAAGAGGTGCGGATGGTTTACAAACTCCGCGAGACGCAGCTGCCAGCTTTGAGGTCTGTGCCAGTGGGTTTGATTCATTTCAAGTGGAGGATGTTGTTCATCACAAAACTTTTGGAAAAGAAACCGGGAATGAACTTGAATAGGGAACCCCTCAAACGGCGATCTGGGTTGCATAAATCTCATACATGATGAAAGCCACCGAAGGGCCAACTCAAAATCATACCTAAAGGGCTTCTGGGATATGATCTGCCAGTGCTTGTCTGTCGGCTTTCAAGCGGTTCCAGGGGGTGCATGCTGTATGTCTGGTAGGGTAACGGCATTAATTTCCGTTGGCCAAATTCAATGTCTGGGAGGGCAACACTTGCTTGAGTTTAAACAACAACAAACAGCAAAACGTGTTTTTTCTTGGTGGACGCCCCCCCCAAAAAAAAGAAGAAGTTACTTGCCCCCACATCTGGGGTAATTACAAAGAATCAATATGTTATGATTCTGATTCATGAGTAGAGTATCTTAAACTATAGAATAGTTTTGGACCAACAAAAAGGGAAACAACTGCCACTGCAGTGGCAGCACAAGGTTGTCGGCCTGCATGGATCCGCCCCGCTCAGAAGGTGGTCGTTCCCGTGCAAAAAACTAGACGAGCCCCTCAACATCTGTGGTTTCGTCTTGGCTTCCCTCTGAAAACAACGCGAAAACGTATACCCTCAAAAAACGGAAGGTGTCAAGGGAAACCGAAGGCCAATGTTTGGAGGCCCCAAGTCAAACGTTAAACAAGAACCACCCAGCTTGCCGAGTCCCTGGAGACAATTCCGAACCACGACGACGCCTGACACCGCGGCGGTGCAAACAGTCTTCGACTCGTCCGTGTCCTGGTGCACACACTCCTCGCGCGGAGCGCGGGTGGCTGGAAGGAAGGTTTGGAACCGAAAAGGAGTTGCCACGTTGTGAGGGTGTTCTTGTTGAAGTGCTTTTCGCTGAGGGTATGCCCCTGTTTGGCGGTTATTGGGGGTAGCTGTTCTGACCGTCTGTGTGAGGACACCCTTTTCGGGATCATGTTGAAGGGAAATTGAAGACAAGCCGTTCATTTTGCGGGTTCCCCGATTGCAGGACGAACCAACATGAGTTCACCAAAACGAGAATTGGCGTCCATGTGGGTGGTTGGCAAATCGTGGCTTCGTGCCAAGGGAAACCAAAATCTGTGGGTTCAGCATGCCCCGTGGCAACAATTTCGGGGAGCAAAGTGACAGGTGCTCGCGCATAGTGGGCAGCCCGTTGTGGTCGAGCCACGCGGAGCCAGAAGGGACCCTGGGGTGCCTTACGAGCCCTTCATCGCGGCTTCGCAGATGAAATGGCATGGGTTGGTGATGCTATGACTGGCCTTAAATTCTAGAAAGTATAGAAACTTGGATACTGTAGGATCTACAATGATCTGCATACCAGATGGGCTTGGTCAGAAAAGGTCCGGACTTTGGTTCGGTTCTTCCAAAAGCGTTAACCGTCAAGTGACGAGGTCTTGCTTGCAACCCCTCTGCGAGATCAACTGATCTCCCGAGTTGAACCGCCTGAGTTTGGCCGAGGGTGGCTTCTGGGCAGACTACGTGCGGTGCCCACTATGGGGATGCGTCAAATTTCGTGTTTGGAAACCCAAAAACGCGTGGTTTCCCTTTAAACCAACCTGAAACGGGCACCCTCTTCAAAGTAAACACAAAAAAAACGTTCTTTTTAAGCCATGGAGGAAAAAAGGGTACCCTCCGAAGCAACCGTTCTTCGAAACCAATCTCACCCGGCAACCCAACAAACAGCCCACCGCCCATCGTTGGGCTCGGGCCTTGGAGGCCGCGTTGATCCCCAGGGAAGCGAAGCCTGCGAGGCTCGGTGGCGAAATCTGCTCCCCGGCCGAAAAGTTTGACTTTTAGTGGCTTAATGGAAAACCCACTAGTCTAGGTTGGGAAAAAGTTAAAGTCCTAAAACATCCAAGCAAAATGCGCCAAGGAAGATGTCTATGCTAAAACAGGGGGCCTGCCGGCACTGGTCCTGGGGGGGTGACTCCTCTTTCTTTCCTGAACCACTTCGGAACCCGACGGCCCAGCAACGTACCAGGATGGTTGGTGGTACCGATGGCGATCGCAGCCACCAGGCCTCTTTGACTTTGTCTCCTTCTGCACAGACCTTCCGATTTGCTTTTTACAAGGCTGGCAAGGAAGCCACCCCCGCTGCCCCAAAATGGATGCCAAACAGTCATAACCACCCTTTGCCATGAAAGAAGCAAAGAAAACAAACACATTATTGTGTGAGTGGCAAGAGGCGGCCTCCTGCATTTATGCTATCCTGCTCAGAATTTGGGTTTGACTCAAACACCGACATCTTGACCCTGTGCCAAAAGCCGTGAGCCGAGCTTCTTTCAAAAGGGTGCTGTTCTAATTCGAATGGTCCTTTCTTGCTTATTTCGCTTTGCAAAGTGTGCCATGGTCAAAGCTCGCTGGTTGCCACAATCCCCCAACATATTGAAGAGGTTTGCAACCTCAAGCAACAGGCAGTTACGAATTATGACCATGGCACAAGTAAAGGTGAAGCAAAAGTACAAAGGTAAACCAAAGCTAGTTCTATCGTCACCTTTCTGCTTTTGTTGAACCCCCTCAGAAATGAAGGTAAACACACTCTCAAAGGTGGCACTATTTGAGGGTAAACCTCAAAATGGTCCCCAAAAATGGTTGGTACAGTTGATTTCCTTGAAATGCCAACCATCAGGGGGGTTATTGTTTTGAGAAACATTTGTTGTGAGACCCATCGAGTCAGTCCGCGCCTAGACTATCGATGGCACCCCATACCTCAGAAGCAAACGCCGGCTACGCCGGCCGGGAGCAAGGAGTGGACGTCCAAATGCTGTTCTGGTGTTGTCTAAAATGAGGAAACCCAAAATGGTTGGTTTCCGTTTCGATTCCCTTTAAAGCAACCAAAATGATCCCCTGATCAAAAAGACCCCTAAACACCACTCCCTCAACGTTCACATTCTGTGCCACGTTTACCGCTTGGTCTAGCCTGAAAAAGAAACAGGTTTGAAGGAGACACCAGATTAGGGCTCAATAACTCTTACTAGGGCCAAACAAGGCCGAATCTGGCACGATTGCTGGGGTCACCTGTGAGGGGTTGCCTTTTGACCCCATTTCAAGGGAAATGTGGGATTCTCTTGAGTCAAGGTCCACTGGCTCAAGGCCCAATGCTGAAGGGCAACCGGGGTCTGGTCTGGGTTTCCGGGTGTGCCAGCTTCACGTTGCCGGTTTCAAGGCGATTCAGACGTATCCACGCGATGTTTTTTGCTCAGGCCATCCACCTTCACGTTCAACAAAACAACTCTAGAACCCCTTTCTTGGGCTTGCCACGAAGGGCGGCCACGTGTTCGAAACTCCTGTGCAGGGAATCAGTTGAAGCCGTGCCAACCATCGTGGCTTTGGCTTTTCCGGGGGGGGATCTGCCACTTATGACGTGCTTTAAAAAAGACACTGACGCCAAGACTAGGCACGGTGTTGGCGGGTTGGCGCAAGCCCAGGTGACAAGCACTTGGTGTGGCAAAGGCACCGGGAGCACCTAGCTCCCAAGACTCACTTCTTGAGTGGATTGACCAACAAACCTACTGTGGATGGACGGAATCCTGCACCACTTTGAAACCATGGGAAACCGTTGTATGTATTGACAGGGGACTCATCACTCTCGGGTTTCTGAACGGTGGTGCAGGGTTTCGTATGTCGTCCATCCACAGAACTTCTGTGCCGCAATTTGCCCAACAGTAAAAACCAGTTCCCAGCCAACTGAGGTCCTGGCATCGAAGGCGCAGGTGGCATACTTGGCCTAACTTCCAGCGATCCGTTTTGGCTAAGGGGTGAATTCAGCTGGAGAGGGGGGGTGATACGCGATAACTAACTTACTTGAGTCAATACCGGGGCAGGAAAGTGTTAGCAACCCCTCACCTGAAAATGTGCCGCAACATCCAAAACCAATCAGTGAATGCGCTCCGTAAGCAATCTGGCAGCGGGACTCGCTTCATGAGCTCAATTTGTCACTCGGCTCCCTGCCACCAATGAGACGCTCCATGAAGCCAATAAAGGGGAACATGCCGCCCGATTGGAACCCCGAAACTCGACTGTTCAAAACAGGGAGTGGGCTAGGTCTCCGTAATCCCCTGGACAAATCACTGCAATTCTGATCCCTTTCGTCATTCTAGGATGAAAGGTTGCCTTTAGACAGAACCGGGGGAGTAAGTTGGACAAACAAACCAGCGGGGATACGGAGGGAGCGGGGATCTGGGGGGATTCTCTTGGCGCCATTTCCCATGTCAAACTTAGTCAAGGTGCGTTTAGGGGGAATCCTCTCGTATCCCTGGTTCCTCCTGTATCCCTGCTAGTTGGTTTCCCTGAAGGACTCTTGTCCCAAGCACTGAGCACCGTCCTTCCCTGCTTCGCCTTGTCACCATCGCCGAAGTACTTCGGGGAAGGTCGCGCTTGACACCTAGGCTCCAAGCAGGGTGCTTGGAAAAACGCTTCCAGTTGATTATCCTCCCACGGTTCAACATGAAACCCACCAGAGTTCTTCCAGGGCCCCAGTCGGGCTTCATCTTTGCGGGGCGGATGTACGGCTCGTTCACCAAGCTTGCAATCATCCATGAAAAAGACCAAGCCGTGAAATATCTGGCACATTCCCTCCGCACAGACCGGCCTGAACTATGTGGCTTACTCTAACCACCCAAACCCTGAAGCTCAAAGTCTCGCTCGACAACAAGCCTTCGGGGCATGGCCATCAAGAAACGCTCATAACGGCCGTCCAAAGTCCCTACCAAAGGGACCACGGATAGCCCATCCACCCTCAATACTGGTTGTCCAAAATCCACTCACGCATCCCTCACAAGGAATCCCCATGAATGGTTGTCTATCATTCGCTTCGAAACCCTCCTAGTTGATGGACCTCCTCCCCAGCCTCAAACAAAGCCTCGGCAAGCCTCCCTTAGGCTCTGGCACGACCAGCAGCACAAGCACCCGCGGCATTGCGCGGAGTGCCATGATGAAAGTGGCGCTACAGTTGGGCGCAAGCAGATGCCACGATATCCACAATTTCCAGTTGGGTGAACGTAGAGACCGTGAAGCTTTTAGTTTAGTCATGTCCTTTACCAACATAAAGGCAATGGTACCGTCTACTTTCACCATGGTGAACAATGGTATGTCTTGCCAAGGGAGCAGGCTAATTCCCCCTGATAACACTTTGAGGACCATTCCCAGGCATTTTAGCACACTCGTTCTGCTCATGCTCCGAAAGCATCCCCAAATGGCAAATGGAGAAGAACTCACAGGTTGGCTATTCGTAAAATGTTGCGCTGGGCCTTCGTACCTCATATGTCCTTTCCTTTGAAAAGAAGTCAGCATGGCACCATGAAACACATGCAGCTCCGCCAGTTTCATGTTGCCATGCAGCCAAGCCTTGGACCATTCCTTCCTGCCTCAAGCTCATACCCCATGAGAATCGGATCGGCGTGTGCAAGTAAGGCTGTCTGACAAACTCGAAAATCAAATTATGACTTGAGAGGCGAACTTCTTGTGCATCAAACCCGGTGGATCCTTGTCGCCGTAGGTAACCAGCCTGTTTCCGTTGAGTTGTTGACACAGGGCGGTTTCCTCATCTTGGCTATGGTACATGGAATCAGTCGCAAAAATGTCAACATCAATGAAACAAGAGTAAACTCAAAGAAACGATCAAGGGAACCCCAAAAAATGATGTGTGGATTGACATTGGAGGAAAACACTGGTGGGGCCCACTTTTCGGCATGGGCTTCTGCCTTAAGCTTGAACAACTTTCTGAAAACCAACTCACTGGGAAGGCTTTGCACTGGCAGCTTGCACCATTTACTTCAGGAAAGTCCTCCCCCCTTTCAACAGCTAGCACTGTCTGGAAACAGGGGACACACCGGGCGTCAAGTCGGGGTGGTGCACAAACTAACCCAGGCTGACTGCGAGAAAAGCTATGACCAGTCGCCAACACTTGATGCTGTGTTCCGTTCAGCAATGAAACGGTGTCCTTGCACGAGCACTTGGTGAAGTGCTCCGTGCAAGAATGGGGCGGTGTCCTTGTAGGGTGTTTATCAAAACGAGCGCCCTCTCCAAGCAGCTGGTTTCCTTTGGTTTTCCACTGAAACAATCCAGTATCACCCATAGGGGCCATTTTGAGGGCGGTGTTCAAAGGGAACTAGCATGACAGCACTCAGCCAGAGGTCGTGAGCTGATTTCCACAGGCTACATCCACTTCTCTACTGGGGCATTCTGAACGCTGCTTGTACAATTCCGTGCTCCAACCCGCAGCTTGCTCAAGCTAAACCCGTCTGCTTCTCAGCCATGAAGCTTCATGTGGATTCCTCAAATTCGGAACCTCCTGAAATGATGGCTTGATCTTTGCTTCCCCTGGAAAAGGAGAAGTTATTTCAGCAATCACACACACAGTAGGCTCATACATGCGGCCTTCGTCGGGGCGGGGCTTCAAACGTATTTTTGACCAGTAATTCCTGGAGTCTCCATTTCGAAAATGAGGTGACCCCCTGTATGATTTTGCGCGCACACGTTGAAGTGTCATGGAGACAGGCACGTGTGTTACTTGGCCCAAATCTGGGGCACGCGGAAAAACAAACTTAGTCTACCAAAATAGAGAAGAGTTTTCGGCCACAGGAGACCCAGGTTGGTCAAACCGCCCAAGACGGGCAAATGGGTGGACTGCAGCGTGCCTCCTTGATCTCTTCGATCCTTGGCGAACAAAGACATGCACACAAAACCTCAAACGAGCGGACCCGTGCAAACTGGGGCGAGAAATTAACTACAGCAACAAAAACAACAAGTTGCAAAGATAAGCTAAGTCAGGTAGTCATAAACAAACAACTAAAAATAATCAGCTGAACCTTAGTTGGCAGTTTGAGGCTTTGGAGAAACCAAGATGAGCTTCAAGCTCCAAAGTGCGAATCCAAACGGCATGGGGACTCCCCGAGTTGAGGCTTCCTCTTGGCCGCCCAGTGGGAAAGCGCAAAACGGGGTGACCCACTTGAGAGACTTGCAACCATTCAACTGGGTATGGGTCAAAATTAAACCAAAGGACCGCAGGTTTGGTCCAGGTTTCCATTTACCACGGATCCATTTTGGGTACCTATTTTTTGACCCACAGCCAACTCAATGAAAGCTTCATATAGTCTCTGGTGCAAGGTAAGATATGTCTTTCCTCAATTCCAGTCCTTGCAAGGTTGCATTTGTCAAAGCTTTCCTTGGAGCGCCTTGACAAACCACCTGCAGTAACTGGCTGTTCCAAAACTTTCTTGAACAATTCCCAGGCGGCATCCATCTGAACTTCTACGCTCTTACGTACTTGATGAGTTTTGCCGGGCCGTAGGGACAGGGCTCACGCAGTGGTATGTGCCACAGTCGAATCTCTGCCGCTCTTGGGGATTATCCCTGGTATTTGAATGGTTCTCGCTAATGATTCAGGTTATTAAAGGTGCGTACACATTGTCAACTAACTAGAGTGTCTTTACACATGCAATGTCCCCAAACGAGGTTGGTCCGTTTGGTCTTTCTGAAACTACCGACCAAACCGTTCCCCCAATTTCAGGACAACCTCCCATTAATTACTGGGCAGTGCGATTCAACGCCGTCAAATACATAAGCTTTAAGTGCTGAGCTTCATGTGTTGACAATCAGCCAGGTCGACCTAAATACCGAAACAGACAACACTGACCAAGAAGTGGAGTTATGCCCTCGCATGCTGTAGAACCCTTTGGCGGGCCGACTCAGAGGGTGGTGGAAAACGGTTCCCTTGAAGACCCGCTGCCTACTTAAGTTACCCGCAAGTAGTTGAGCACAAGCGGTTGGCGTTGGACAGTGGTCCCCGTTCAGCTCGATTTTGCATCCAACATACGCAACATAGACACCAGGTCCTCCAGTAGAGAGGTTAGAATAAGGGTACCCTTTTCTCTGTAGTCTATTTTAGTAGGGGAACCCTCCCCCGAAAAAAGGTTAAAGAGCACTACTTGGGGACCTAGGACACAAATTCAGGTTGAAAGCTACTGAACAGCCCATGGAAAGGAAAGCATCGGCCGAGGCCGCAGCTCATCCTGCTTCAGCCCAGGCCGCTCGTATTTCCGGGCCTGCAAGTGGGGCTCTTTCATCATGTACACTCTCTCCCTCTCCCTCTCTTTGTCATTGTAGTTGAATACTTGTTGCCATCCTTCTCCTCACCTTTGCCCCAATGCACTTCTTAGTACTTAAGGTTATGCCAAGAAGAATTCCGACCATCTAAATTCTGTCCGCTCCTAGAGTTGCATGTTATCCATTGGATTTGGAATATCGTTCCTATCTGGTTCATGCCTTACTTTTATTCCTGTCGGTCACCTATGGCCGTTGCCCAAACGAGAACCAGCAAGCAACTAGCGGATCCGTGAGTGCGGGCTAATAAACTCAGAATGCGCCGCTGAAAGCAGAAAAGACGGAAAAGACGGGGGAGCAGTCCCTCACACACACACACACACACTACATGTATGGACAGTTGACCCACACTCAGCCCTCAATCCCCTTCTTCTGTCACCTTGGTGGTTTCTCTTGAAAATAGAAGATGTGCCAAAATACTAGGACTGCCTAGATAGTCGGCCAGCTGACCAGCCACATTGGTCAATTACCAAGCTTTGAACTTTCTCCTGCTAGCATTTTTCGGGACCAGCCGCTCCATTCGTTTTTTCTAGCATCAATCATAGAGCCTTGTTTTCTGCCTGAAAAGGAAAAGGGCTACAACAAAGATCATTGGCGAAATGCCTGCTGGGGGAGCAAGCTGGTGTTTCGGAAGCGCTCTTCAGAGGCAACTTCTTCGGATTCCCCTTCCCCAAAGCGCTCACTTGAGCCAGCGAAACGTGAAGATTGATCGTTGGGCTTTCTGGTCAATGGTGAGAGGGAAACCAAGCGAAGACTTATGAACCGTTTAGAGGAGTCCGCGGGTTCAGCATGCAGCCAGTCATTGGTCCTACTTGAGCCATCTACGACGTGCATGGATTCAGTTGCATGCCCGCCTGGCACTCGGTAGGGCCAATTGTTTCGGTCAAACCACCCTAGGCCTTATTTTCAGCCATTTGCGCTCTATATACGACCCGTACGAAATCGGCATTTGTTCAACATGATATGGAGAAATAATAAAACAAGAAACAAAAACACCGGCTGTTCTTGTTATCTTCGGCCAAAGGTGTATGACCCAAAAAAGGCCATATCGGGTGCAAGTTTTGCATGGTGCTTTGTTCCATTCAGAAACACACGCATGTTGAAATGATGTTCAACATGGGGGATCCCTGGTAATCCGCAATCCTTTGTGGGATACAAGGGACACCACTATCTGACCAAAGGATCTTGCAAATTAGCCTTCCACCAATTAACATGGAGCCTGCCAGGGATATCCTGGAAAACCATTTTCCCTTTACAGGGACGGGTCAAGAACGTCAAGTTCCATGTTGCTTGGGAGGGTAAATCCCATCCAAATTGTGGAACAAAAACCTTCGCAGAGACTCCCGGCTGAGCCTGAAAGTTCTGGTGCTTGGCCTTGTGCATCGCCCTCGGATGCGGAAGGAGCTTGAAAAGTTAGACTGCACTTTTATGGTTGCCAACATATTTAGGTTCTGAACATAAACTAAACGGCTACGCTTTGTAGTGCACCGTTTACCTCGTGGATTCAATATGCGGCTTGGACAAGGCGCTTTCCCCTCTGATTCAATGAGGACTGCTCGTGCTCAAGCCTGTCGCTGCCAGGGTTGAAGGCTCCAAAGAGCAGAACATCGACAGGCAGTTCAGGGCGGCTCACGCACAGCGCATGTAGTCTAGACTGTATCATGCTCTACTGTGTATATACACGTGCATGCATACATATATACATATATGTTATAGAGATATACGTACCATTGATAGTAATGACAATAATGATAATAAGAATAAAACGACAACAACAACAACAACAACAACAACAACAACAACAACAACAACAA